TGTCATAAAAGGGGTTCTACACAGCATCTCCTTAGAGATTTAGAAAAAGAAATCTCAGTTGCTGCATTACCAAATGAAGTACTTTTTCCCATTTAAGGAAACCCCGAACGCTACGGTTTAAATTTAATTAACTACGGTACCTCATAGGATAGCACCAAAGTGTTTTTGTTAGAATAACGAAATCTTAGGTATGAAAGACCTTGCAAATCGGTTAAGAAATCCTCCGTGAGAGATGGAAAAAGATGCTATGCTTTTTCCCTTGAGAGGCTTTTGAAGCGGGGCCCAGGAGAGGCAGCCCAGTGAGGGCTGCAGCAGGCAGCAGCACAGCACCGCTGCTGGCACAGGGCTGCCCATCTGCAGAGCACTGCTGTGACAACCCTCCAGACCTCCAGCTGGCATCGCAGCCTAGTTTATCCTCTGGAGCTGTATTGTAAATACGTATATTGGCCATGTATTTTTTGGCAGAAAATAGCTCTTCTTTTCCCTCCCTCACTCCCAAAAAGGCACTTCTGTATACTTCTATTTATATCACACCTTTTCATTTCCCCTTTTGTCCCCTCTTTGAGAAGCTACCATAAAATTGTTGGTATTCTTACACTGAACTGCTTCCTGGCATTTTAGATGGATCTCAGAGCCATTTCAGTTTTGTCTGTGTCACATTACACCTCTAAACTACCAGCTTTTAAAAATGCTAATAGGCTGGGAAACAATCATGATGTGGCAACCACCTCTGCCTATTATTAAAAATGTTTGGTGTCTTCTGTTGTAAATCGTACTCTCAGATAGTTGTACTTCTGACAAATGTTAACTATTTTGTCCCAAACTCTCCACAGCAGTTGACTGTGCTAGGCTGAGGGTCCCATATACAGCCCAAATGGTCCCTATAACCTCAGGTTTTTTGCAGCCCCAGCAGGACCCAGATGAGGGCTTCCACAAATTGCTCCATACTGGGAGCAAAGACCTGTCCTGTGGCTTCACTGCTCTGTCAAGGATGGTGATCCTTCAGAAAATCATCTGCTTTTGGCCATGTTAAAATCATCCAAAGCAGCCCAAAATGGCAAGTGCTTTGTAGAGGCTTGTATGAGCACTGAAGGTAAAATCTCTGCTGATTCAGAGGGTATTCAGGGGTAATGCAAGGTGGAGGGAGAGGGAGGCTGATGGGAGAAAAACTGGGAGCCAAGGGGGAAATGGGACCATGATGAAAAGTGGAAGTCCTGACAGAAGGTGTGGGTATGGCTGCTGAGAGGGTATCTGTGCTGAGCTGAGTCTGGGGGAGCAAAGAGCCTTGGTGGGATGGAGTCTGTGGCTGGGACATGACATCCTGTGGGGGCAGGATACTGCATGGGTAGAGGGGGCTGAGGGCGGGTTGGGGGTCCTGGCAGAAATTAACTCACTGAGAGCTGGGAATGGGTCCATCATCCCTGTTTCTGCTGTCAGCGAAGACCTGGGAATCCCACTGTCCCGTATCTTCATAGCGCTCGTCCTTGCAGTCAAAAAAAACACCTCTCCCACCCAGCTCTCACTCTGCTACCGCTGCTGACATCTGCAAGGTGCAGCTAAGACTCCTAACCTCAAATATATGTTACATGATGGAAGTTCTGGCTTTGTCCTTTAAAAAAGCAAACTGACTAAAAATGCCATGTACATAGATGCATGAAGACATCCACTACCTTAACAGATAAGGAAAGTTTCACACCCATGAATCTCAGATGAAGAAAGAAGCAACTAAAATTGCCCATGACTTCACTTTTGCTTGCGTGCACTATAATCTCTCATGACATGATTGCATACTATTTTTCCCATAGGATGCCTGCCTCATTTAGCACTCAAGATGTCCTGCTCTGGATGTGAGTCAAGGCTGTGACATGGAGGAGATGCGTGGCTGCCAGAGCCACCTCATCTTTCCCAGAGACTGGAGCCTGCCTAGTAAGTGACCACAGCGAAAGCCAGAGTAGTGCAGGTGTGGGTGAAGTGGCTTCTCCGACTCTTCCAGCTGCAATGCCTCATGCCACACTTTCCACACAGTGAGACTCATCTCATGCACCCTGGCTGCGTAGGAGTCTCTTGTCTGGCCTAAATTACTCATGCAGTCTCTCTGTCAGTGTGTGCAGACAGGCATTGGACAGGATTGATCAGAACTGATCAGTAACTAAGGCCTGGACACTGAGGAAAAAAAGTACCCCAAATACTGAGTATCTGCTCAGTGAGCAAATATGTGCATCCAGGACAAGAACAGAGCTAGAGAAACTTAAGAAAACAGATGTAAAATGAGGTAAATTAGGTTTAACCTCCAACATTGTTCCATTTAGGGTGCTTGAGTTTGGATGCTTAATGTAGGTTTCTGTTTGTCAAAGCATCCTGATGGGTATCAGGAGTCCAGTCCTGTGACTCTAACAGGTCCCTTTTGTGTTAGGGATATACAGTTTTTTGTGGGAGTAGATAACTGGTGACAATGAAGCATTTATCCCAGTTAGTCACTGCTTTTGCTTATTAGTGGAGCTCTATTTCTTGATCCTTTTACTGGTGGACTGCAGAGACCTCCAGAATGCCTCTACATGCTACCAGCCAGAATCTGCTTCACCATGTTATGGTGTCTGAATCAGAAGCCTTAAAAGAACAAATCTCAGTTAGATCTTCTACCCTTCTGCTAGAAATACTGCAGGATTCAATTTCTGAAATGGTTAATTTCAGAATGGTTTCTGAAATGGTTTCTCAGTCCTAAGGCAGGTATCCCTAGTCTGAGAAGCACTTGACCAAGTTCATACATGTCACTGTTCGGTCAGAACTTACTCCTGGGATAATTTCTCTAGTATCACTTTCCAGGAAAGAAAAAAAACCCCTTCCTTTCCTTTCCCTTTTGGCAAAGAAGATATATGTGCACAGCAAAATTGAAGTCAATGGGCGTTAAGCACATGCTTGAATGCTTCCTTGAATTGGGAGCTCAATTTCTAACATGGCAGTGATTTGTAGAGAGGAGACATGGAAACGCAGAGGGGCCTATTTCAAAGGTCAAACTCACTGCTCCCACCTTATTCCACAGCACTGTTGTGGTTACAAGTTGCCCGAAGACTCCGTGAGAACTATAGAAATGTGGCACAGATATGCCAGTCGTGACAGCAAGCATGGATACTGGATTCTTTATCAGAATACAACACGGCAGAATTAGTGCCAGTTCCTATAAAGGAGTCAACAACGCGTGACGTGTTTTACTCAGGTTCGCACCCGGGCACGGCGCCAGGCAGCGAGGGGAACATGACTCACGCATGCATGCTCAGCTCTCCTGTTTTGCTTCATGTACACTCAGATTTTCTTGAGGAAAGGGGGGTGGCAAGGAAAGTATTTGGCTTTGGCGCTGCTAGGGCAGACAGCATCCCCCTCTCCCACGTGAAATGAGAGCATCAGTGGGATGTGGGCAAGTCTGGGGCCGGGGGAATGCCTGATCATGGCACATCCTTGTACTGGTCCTGTTCCTGGCACCAGCAGAAACTGGATGGAGCAATGAGTGGAAAAGAGTGTGAGGGGCACACACAGCCTGATGGGGTGGTCACTTGAGAGTCAATCCCTGAAACACAAAATGATACCACCAACACCTGGGAAGTTTCTCTGCTCTGCTGCTTGGACTGTTGGATGCGTTATGGCAGAGGGCAGCTGAAGGAAGGTGCTTTTTTAAACCCATAGTGGGAAACTACATCCAGAAGGCAGAGGTGGGCATGAACTACCCCAGCAAACCAGTTTAATATCAAGGCTAAATGACAGGAGAGCTAGGAGCAATTCCCTTTCCAATCCAGCCATCTATAACCAGATTTTGGAATATCAAACAGGATAAGATAAAATATCTGTTTTCCTCGTTCTTCCGGTGCACCAAAAAATGAAGGAGAGCATAAACATCAGCAGCACCTCTGACAGGGCAAAGCTCACTTCACCTTCCCATCTGAATACCTGCAAGCCCCATGAAGGGCTGTGCTGCCAGGCAGCAGAACAGGCGATTTTTCCCCTAAATTTTGAGCATTGAGCTGCAGGCAATCAGAGTCTTTTAATGCACCCCAGATACAGCAAGTGGCACGAGCGCTTGGGTTTGATAAGTGGCCTGGATGTGGCGAGTGCTGGAGCCACAAGCCAACCTCCACAGAAGTAGTGGTGCTCTGCTGCCTGTGTGAGCTTCATTTCAAATGCCGTAAATATTAAGGAATGTGCTACTTCTTCCAATCTTTCAGGGCTCCGTCTCTGTGCGCACAGATGGGCGTTGGGAGACAGAAAGCCAAGTACAGCTAAGTGCACTGCAATGCTCTGCAGCTTTTAAAAATTTCATCCAGCATCTGAATCTGTTTATCTAACCTTTTTTTCCCTCTCCTCCCTCTTTCTTTCTCAGAGAATTGCTCCTACTGTGTGGATGAAATGCACCAAAATGCAAACAAGCAAAATATGAAGCTGAGTGATGTTGAATGCGAGTTCCTCCATTGCCAGATGTGAAAGAACAAGTGGATTGAAAACCATAATTTGTTTTTAAAAAAATATAATTTGGTACTTCTGAGCAATTTGATGATTTAATGAGCACAGATGGATCTGGGATGAATTTCTAGGAGACAAGTGTTTAATGTATCTGCTCAGCTAATTCCAGGTCTAAGCATTATCCTTCCTAGTGCATGAAGGTAATTAATATTTCCCATTATAGGCATGAAAAAACCTGTATGATCAGTTAAGGAATGCAGATACACCAATGATATGGAAGTTAATTCATAAATCAATTAGAGAATCTTGCCTGCTGTGTACAATTAAGGTTACTTCAATTACAGCTTATTTTCAGATTTAAGACTCAGGAATTAAAATCTTAAAATTAGACTAAGTTTCTTACCACTATATACTGCAATTGGAAGTATTTACTCCGTTTTAGCAGTCTAAATCTATTTACTACTGATTCCAGCATGGCTGAGCAGATGCAGCTAACCCATGTCCCTCTGGTGTTATTCAACCACTTAAAATCATCATCAGTTACAAGTTTCACTACCTGGACCATCCTGAGGTGAACTGAGAAATCTGTAGGACATGGGAATAGCCCTGGCATATTAAATAATGTGTCTGGACTTTGCTGCAGTAAAGCTTTGAGACCAGCATCTCAACAGCCTGCTCTGGAGACATCAGGGGATGTTCTTCCCTCTTTTTTTTCATGACTACATCTAACTAAAGGTGCCGTATTCCACTGATTTAGTTACCCCGATGGTAAATCTGGTTTATATTGATTTAGCTTTTCTTATAGCATTAATCTAAACTGATGTAGACCAAATTAAGTGCGCCTAAATAAGGATTGGTTTTTTACTCTTTTTACTAAATTGCTTTTTCATGGATTTTAAGGACAAGAGACTACTGTGATAGTCTGTACTCACTGCCTTCATTACAATGCTGAAGGACTCGTCTGTATTTATTTCTGCTTCAAGTCTAATAGCTGCACTTGAGCAACAGCATCTCTTTCAGACAAATGCCCAATCTAGAGAAGAAATATTCCCATGTCTGTCCCATCTGCAGTCTCTTACAGACTAAGCCACTCCTAAGCCTGCTCTTCACCAGGTGTACCAGAGCTCTCCATATCACCCACTGCAAGTTTATTGTTTTAAATCTTCCACTGTTCTTATGATGCTTCGCTGAGGCCACTCCACTGTGCCTCAGAGTTGGCTCTTCTGAAATACACTGTTAATCTGTGCTCTCCTTACCAAAGTGTTGAATTAGCTCTGTACCAACAAGTCTGCCCTCTTCCTCACCTACCTCCCACTTTAGTCCCCCGTTCTGCAACAGCAAAGACTTAATTTTGGGCAGTGCAGGTCCAAGACCCAACTCTTACTGGGCTACACCACATAAACAATAATTTCCTAGCAATTCCTGATCCAGAGTTATATTGGATGCCAAACAGTGAATCAGTTTTCTATCCACTTAATATTTGCTGTGTTGGTTGCATACAGTTTACTCTGCAAGACATTTTATGGTAACAAGCCAGGTGCCTTATAAAAATTTAAATAGGTTACAGTGTCATTGTTACCTTCCCAACCAAATTTCAACCTGCACTCTGTAAAACACTGTGTAAGTTAGGAACTGTCCTGTGTTGTCTCTTATTATGTCCTGCATCATCTACTCCATGACCACAACTGGATTCATGGTCAGGTGCCTTGCCCAACCCATTCCCTTAAGCCTCTTTCATACACTCAGACAAAAATAGTTTCTTTCAAACTTCTGGAACATTGCTACCGTTCTAAAATTGTTTCAAATATCAGCTCCAGAGGGTTCCTTAGACTGCTTTTGGAAAACTCTTCGATGCTTTTTTAAAAAACATGTTCTCCTCAATCACTTTTTGAGTGGAAAACATTTCAATAGCATTGTATCAATGTATTATCCGTTCCCTTCCCAGTCCTGAAGCTACAGTTTTGTAGAAAATATTTACCTGAAGCCAATATGACTCTGCACATGTAGAACCAGCTCTTTTCTGTACCCCTGTTTGTAGTTAGTTAACTCTTTCTCCATCTGCTTTTGTATTTTGGTGTTCCTACTCTACTCTTTTTGGGCTTTCAAGGTCAGTTACCCTAAGGTACCAAGATGCAGAGCAGGCTGCTGAAATGAACTCCAGATTCACCGGTACATTCCTATCTATAAGTGAGCTACATTTTTGGCAACAGGTCACTGAAGATGGCACTACCTGTAAGTATCCTAAACAATGAGAATTTGAAGCAGTCTCTGGTACTGCAGAACAGGCCAGAAAGGGCCTTGATGAGCAAACACATCACCCCTGTTGCCTCCAGGCAGGAAAAGCCAAATGACAACTCTGTAAGTTTTTTAAAACATAGGGATCCCACTTAGAAAGTGGCCTTTGCCAACAGCATTTACACCCTTTGGGCAGAGAAAGAACTGCTCTCCTCTATATTTAGACCAGGGCTGAACGGTGTCATGAGCAGGTGCTGCTCACCATTTTTTAAAATCAATGAACATTAAACCGCTACAACCTCCACTGTGCATCAAATGATTTTCAATGGGCAGGTGCAGGTAAGCCCTGTCTTTCTGAAAGACAGCTGAGCCACCTGCAGTCAATCCACAGAGCAGCAAAACTGCAAAACCCCTTGAGCAAATTAAACTTGCAGCCCTCCTCCAGGATGGAGCCCACCTCAGGAGATACACAGCTTACCTTTCCCGTGGCAAAGGCTTGGGCTCTGGCCGAATAGCTGCCATGGAAGAGAGGGGCTGCCTGGCAGGAGAAGGGATGGAAAAATTCAAATCCAAGGAGCCTGTTTTCCTGTGCAGTGGCTCCAGGCCCATGGCTCCTTGCATTTCACTCTCGATAGGGCATGAGCCGGCCCTGCCGTGGCTGGAGAGGGAGGAGAGCTCGGGTCCCACTGCCCCTTGCAGGACTCCTTCGATGGCCACCTGGGGGTCATGCGTGGGGGACACAGATGGTGGGGAGCGCGACTTCTTTTTCGTTGAGGCTCCTGCTAGGAGTTTCAGCAGCCCGCTCTTCTTCTCCTTCTGCAAAGGAACCAGAGGAAATATAGGCAGTGAGCAGACATCCCAACTCATTGCATTTTTCTTTTGGAAAACCTCACCGTGTGTGGCAGGATACCTCCTAAAACTGCATTGACCAGGGGTGGATCTAGGTACAACTTGAGTTTTCGACAATAAAGTTTCTATGAAAATCCCCCCCATCCAGCAGGGCTTCAACTCGTTCAGCAGAGCAAGGACCTAACATACTGCAAAGATTATCTCCATTTTCAAATCCACCCAAGCAGTGATCGTGTGCCTTTGGAAAGAAATAGTGCAGTTGCAGTGGGACAGCAAAGGTACAAACTTCTTGTGTCCCTCCCCAAAAGGGACAAATCAGGCCATATGGCTAAAAAGCTCTGCTAGGTAGCACAAGGGTCTGAGGAGAGATTTCAGATCCCAGCCCATTGCAAGAGAAGTGTTCATCATTACTACCTCGTTTACTACTACTCTTTGCATCTCCCTCCCCAAAGTGGGTCACTTCTGCTCATGTGTTAAGGCAAAGGTATCACCTTGATGTTTGAAGATAGACCACAAAATTTGCAGTTGGCAATTGCAGTGGCAGTGCATGGGAGCTTTCAAAGTTCTGCAAGGGCTTCAGATACAGAGGAATGAAAACAAGGTAACATCACCCTTTCAATTAATGTGGGGAAAAGTTCAGGCTGCATTACTGAACACATCTGACCTTGTGGGTTTCATAGCAGTGTGAGAAATCCTGCTGCACATTCAACTCAAGCACAAACAGATACCAAATATTATGTCCTTCAGTTAGAAAGTTTTTTGGGTAGAGGGACTGTGCAGGAACTGGCCATGGTCTAGTACACGTTGCACAGTGCTAGGCTAGACTTGCAATCAGCAATGTTGTGCAGTAAATTTTCCATTTTTTTAAATGACACAAGTTTTGCAAAAGGGCTGTTAGATTTCTTCCTCTTCTGTCAGAAGTGCAAACTATTATCCAAGACTATCTTCAGAGACTCAGGGCTATGAAGTTTAGCTATATTTGATTATATATATATATATAATAGGATCCTAGGGGATTAAAAAACAACAAACCCAGCAACTGCAATACTTACGGAACAGAAACTCTCTCTATATCTTCAAGCAGGAACGCTCTTTGGAAATACAAGCCAGTAATTTATTTATTCTCTGCAGACAAAATGTCCCATGCAAGGTTTAAAATTATGCTCTTTTATGTGCTGTCTGCTAAAGTAATTCCTCAAAGCAGATTTAAAGAATAGGAGGGCTACAATAAAATAAATACAAGCTTTTAGAAGATGCTTGGATTTACTGCAGATTTACTGCAGTAAAAAAAAAAAAGCTTGTGCTTGGAGTATCTGATATCTCTGTTCCCAAATTTCTTGTTTGTACTCTTTAGTTGCCACAGGCTGGTAAGAAAACAGAAATACCTTACATGTTGACATGGAAGAGCTAAAATGGATCACAGTTGTTATAACAGAGACAACATCCACTGATTTTTGAAGAGTAGGGTCTGAACTACGCTTCCAGATCCCGGTCTCCTGCACACCACTGGTCCAACTATACACTCTGTTTAAAAGGGCGTTTGTCACTTACAGGATGAAAGGCTCCATCCTGCCAAGATGTTCATCCAGGCAGAATCCATAGAAGCTAAGGAAGGCTGGCCATATGGCACCATCAGGTCAAAAATACGAAATAAATTCCCCTGGAAACAATAGAAAAGCAGACCCGATGGGCCTGCTAAATGTCTTCTTTCCTGGATGGAAAGGGACCATTGTGGGAACTGCGGTAGGTTTGCGTGTTAGAATTCACCTGAAGCACCAGAAAAATACTTGAGTGTTTCTCGCACTCTATAATTAAGAAATATCGCTGCTGTCATCATTATATCAGATTTTAAAGCTCTTCACGAAATTGCAAAACTCTCCTTTCCCTGCGGTGAGCTGAAACAATAGCTCTAATGATCCCGGCATACTGTGTCAATATGCATTTGAAGGTGTCTAAAGGTCAGTGACAGAATACAATGGCCATTGTGGGGCTCTGGAGAAACTGCTATTGTGCAGCAGTGAGCGCTCTGAGCCTCTTTAATTGGCAGCTTTGCACATGCAAAGTAACTACATGAACTAAAGCCCTGTATAATGAACAATTAATATTCCTATGTGGTAGCAGCTTTTCTAATTTTTGCTTCCAATTTAAATACCTCGGCAAATTTTCATTAGAAAAACCTTGTGTGACTTAGACCATTTAAGGCATAGAAGCACAAATCTTTGGAAAGAAGGAGATGCATATATTCACACCCATCTGCACGTTAAAAAACAAATGAGTCTGACACTCATTCAGTTTTGTTTACAAGAAAGGCTTCCACTCTACATGGTTAGCCCTGGCTGAATTTCTACACTCTAGCTACTATCCCTCAGATAACAGAGAGCTATGATGTACTTGCTGATGTACCCCTTGCTCTACTTTAACAAAAGGAAAAAGAAAGAATTGATTTTTAGTCTTTCTTAGCCCACTGAGCATTTTGCTATACTTTTGAGACTAAGATCTATGTTGTTCAAAGAGAGAAGACGACTTACTTCAGTTGCTAAGCCCAGACCTCCTAGTCAAAACCTGAAGAGTCCCATCCTTCCCATCATGGCCTTGGGCAAAATATTTAGAGGTGAACTGACACTAACCACTTTGGGTGCCTGGAGATTAGGCATCACATCCAGCTCGTTCTCCCTCTGAGTCTGGCAAATGCTCTCAGCTTTCTGGTATCACATTGCCAGAACCTCTGCTGATGCTGCTCAGAGCACTTGAAGCAAAACAAGGACTGTCAGGAGCTGATAATTTACTGCGATGCCTCTCATGAGAAACAGATTGGGGTTGAGCCTCCTGTGATCAGCAGTTCAACCTAAATCCCTTCATGCCTTCTCCCCCCATTTGTGAAATGGGACTCAGTTAAAACCCCTCCTTGTGCCGTGGGAATTGGTTAATGACTCCAGCATTACAAAGCTGTACATTTCTTTGAGAGCAACCGGTCCTTTTCCGTGGCTTTAATATAAAAAAAATAAAAGATTTGGAATGGGATGTTAACATGCAGTCTCAGTAGTGATTTATTGCAAATGTCCAAGTATTATGAATTCATCTAATATTTAGTGTAATAACAGCCATCCTTCACAAGAAATTAATTTAATATTCATATGGCTGTCCAAGACAGTCCTTTCTTCAGCAGTTTCACTGTAAATCAACGAAGCATTAATGGGCATTAATGCTGTACAGAAATCTACACTGATTGGTTACAGACTCTCTGGATTTTGAAGAAAGATAAGAAGTTTACAGAGGACATATCTGATGACTTTCAGGAATTAAGTTTTTGAATGAAAGAAAAAAAGATGGTTTACTTTCTCCATTTGCAGGTCACTGTTTTATTGTTTCCAAGGAAATCTGGCATCTACTGAAACAGCTGTGTAATTATTGAGCTTTCTTTGTCTAGTAGCTACATTTCCAACTGACTGCAAACTGTGTTTGACGTCCCTACCTCCTGAACCTGCCAAGGTCAGGCCTTCGCATCTGTGTTGATGGACGGATTCACAGTATGGACCACGCTTCTGCCATCTCCTGGTTACTGCCCACATGTTTGGCTGAATTTAAATCGTCACCTTTGTGTCGCTCAGGTTTTATTCCAGGACGTTCAGAGTGAAAACTTCCAAACCATTAATTTCACAAGGATTAATAACTTGTTCAAAAAAAGCAAAAGAGCGAAATTAGCTTTTTCAAATAAATTCCAGGCTGTTTCTAATCAACAAAAAAAGGACTGTGAACACAGATAGTATAGGCAGGGCAGGATTTCTTACTTCTCTAGCAAACCCTGTTCTTGAGACCCAGGGCACTGGAACAGGCTGCCCAGAGATGTTGTGGAGTCTCCTTCTCTGGAGACATTCAAAACCTGCCTGGATGTGTTCCTGTGTGACCTGGTCTAGGTGATCCTGCTCTGGCAGGGGGGTTGGACTGGATGATCTTTTGAGGTCCCTTCCAACTCCTAGCATTCTGTGATTCTGTGACCCCGTTCCTACGGTGTGACATGAAGGAATCAGTGGAAATCAGTCTCTGGCAGCACAAGGATGGGACAGGCAGCATTTCTGTGACCCTGAAGCACACACCTGGGGAAGCCAGCACTTGGACAGGTGCAAGTTCCCCCCGATATGTTGCTGTGGGAATGTTTGGGAAAATGAATACAGCTAAAGAACTCATGAAGGACTAGATCAAAATTAAAGTCTTGGATATGTAAATGTTCAAATATTTTGCTTCACAGTAATTGGGGATGATTTTTCCCCTCATTAATAACCCCACTTGAAGATAATAACTAGCTCTTCTTTCAGCTTCAGAGATGAGATGAGCACAGAATGCAGCTACTTCGTTGATGACTGAGTGGTAACAGAGTCCCCTGTCTGCAAAGTAATAATCATGCCATAATCCAAATACTAATTATATGTGCTGACTATATTATACAGATAGTTTGTTGGTTTGTTTTTTTTAAAACCACCCTAATAAACAGAAAATTCTGGGTTTGTTTTCTTCATATGCATCTCCTAATACTTAATTTCCTACCTATCCAAGCTCATTAAATAAGTGAGGAAACCTTACTACAGTTGATAGAAAAACTGACTCCAGCCATTGAAATGAGGTAATTTCTCATGCAACACCAATTATATAAATAAATAAGAAAGCCAGAGGAAGAAAAAAGGTTTCATCTAAAAATTAAGAAAAAAGAAACAGAACTGTTTAAATGCTGCCCTGAGCCCTACAGAACAAATGAAGAACTCACCTATCAGTCAGTACTCCCAAACCACCACTTTTATTGCTTGTTTAACTTGGTCAGTACTTGTTTCAGTAAATTTAAGTTAGTGTCTGGGGAACAGTGTATTTTTATTCTGATTCCAACTTGGCTACTGGTGATTGATGCTTGCACTGAAAAAGTAGGTGCCATTTTGGATTGCATCTTTTAGGAAAAAACTACCTAGGTTTTAAAAATATTTAAAGTTATTTGAATTGAGATTTTGACAATTATTTTAAAAGCACAGAAAACAAACCGGCATCATCTCAAAGGAAAGCATCAGGTCTGGGATGTCTTTGGCTATGTATTTGTCATTTGCAGTTTGCCACATTTTCTCATGGGGCATAGCTGACATACTGATCGAGACAACAGTAATTACTTAATACACAATTACTTCTGATTTAAAAAAAAGTTTTGTATCATATCCTGTATAGAAATACTTACCAAATATTTAGTTTTTAATGGAGAGAACTGCTTCTGTCCAGACATCTATTATAGTGCAGTATACAAGTTACATGCCAAGGAACAAAAAGGATTTTAGGATCACAAAATCATTAGCTCTTAAATCCCAGTGATAGTAACATGTCAACTTATTGTCACTAATTTGAAGACAGCTAGCATTAAAGCCAGGAAAAGGTAAGTAAAATGTCTTGCAGCTAGACCTGATGGAGAATTTCAAATGTTCTGAAAACAAAACTGAGAAGAAGCAATCAGTGTTCAGGTCCCAGTAGAGCAAAGCACATAGACACTTCATCACGTGCTTTTGTTGCACTGGGGTGGATGCAAGGCTCTAGAGACTACTAAAAGAGATAGAGGGGAAATCTAAAAATATATTTGAATATTCAATTTAGATAGAATATTAGATCTTTCAGATGCCGGAACAAAGTTAAAGGCTGGCTCACAAGGGGAAAAAAAATGAAGTAGAAGCAGAGAGTGTGAGCTCTCAGTGAGCTTCTTGGGGGCTGCTGCATTCCTAACAGTCAGAAGGTAAGAGGGACGCTGACACAGTTAACGGTGAATGAGGGACAGATGATCTGCTTGCACTGATACTGCCTTTTTTCTGTGTTTGATGGAGGGAGAAGCTGATGGATGGGTAGTGTTGTATTTCATTGCTTTTCCTGGTCTAGTGTGTGGGGAATAGGTGATGGTTATGAAAAGGATGGAAAGTTGTTGAGATATGCAACTTATGCCATGCCTCAATAACCGTTTTCAGTAGTGTTTTTTAGTGGGAACAGCTGAAACAGCGCACTAGGGAATTGAAAACTACTGCTGTTACAGAGTAACTCAAAACTGTATAATGATACAGTGAAATGCAAGGACAGCACCAAAGAAGGTGCTGAAACCATGGCTCTTGTGAAGCCTGTGGCAACATTTCCCCTTATTTCCAAGCAGCCACTCTCTCTGGAACTAAGCTCAGATGGATGTGTTTTCGGCCTGATTTCAGTCCATCTCTTCCTTTGAAGTGTGAGCAATGTCTCCGAGGACACAAAAGAAGGCAGTAGGCATGGTCTCCTTGTTCACATTTGACATTCAGCTCCCTTCTTCACTCAGCAGTCCCCTAGATGTTTGATTATCCTAGAGCAAGTAGGGGAACTTCAGCACAAAGCACGGAGATATCCTTTTCTCTGCTCCACACTCCTGCCCTGCACACGGCCTATGTAGAGACATAAAGCATACACACTTCCCCTGGGGAATGTGGGCTCCCGTCTCATTCTGGGAGAAAACTCAGTCAAGGAGTTCAATACAAGCGCTTCAAGTGCTTGATGCCCAAGCATGAACAAGAGTTCCTGCTCAGTCATATAAAAAATCCTCATCCTTTCTTTCTGGAAGGAAACCTTGGCACCCTGCAGAGCTGGGAACATGATGTGGATCCCAAGTGGAAGTAGGTAACTTTCTTAAAGTAAAAACACAAGATCCAAGCCATCCTTCCTTTACCAGTATCTCTTGCTGGTTTAGACACCTGATCTGCTTGGCAGTTTTTGTGAATGCCATTTTCCACACACATAATTCTAACTCCACATTAAATGGGAATTATGAGTTCCACTACAGAGCAAAAGCCTTAGAAGTAATAAACCGCCATACTCAGCAAAAGTTAATGCTCATTCTGAAACTGGCCAAAAAGTGAATGCAATGTGCACTCTGGGAATACGAAACCCAAGTATCCCTATGCTACCACTGACTCTAAGCTGGCTATTCTCAGGCAGAAAGGGGGTAACCTGTAAAACCTGATGCTAAGCAGCGTCCAAAAGGCAAAAGAGAAGACTGAGATTTGTTAGGAAAGATCTAGAGACAGAGGTAAAAGCCATCTGTACAAAACAGTGCGAAGGGAAGCCCTGCTGTGCCTGCCTGAACTCTGTGTCCTGTTCTGGCCACCGCAGCTGGAATAGGGTATTGCAGAACTATGAACAGCACAGAGAAAGCCAGTGAGGACCATGAGAGGTGTGGGACAACTTCTGTACATTGGAGATGTCCACTTGGAAAGCAGACACTGACAGGAAATACGATAGTGGCCTACAAAATCCCTGCCTGCACAGAGAATGGAGCTTGGGAATAGATCGTTTATTTCCCACAATACAGGAATTAGGGGAAACCTAATGAGATTATCAGGCATACGGTCGACACTAAAAAAATAGGAAGCACTTTTTCCACACAGCACATAATTAAATGGAGACTTACTACACAGTGTTGTGGAAGCCAAAGGCACAAACAGGTTCAAAAGGGATCAGACAAATTAATGGAGAACAGATCTAGCAAGGGCTATTAAAATAACGATATGGATCCAACCTCTGCTTCAGAAAGTCCCAACAGGTAAATGAAACAGCACTTACAGAATGCACAGGGAGACTCCACCTCACTACAAAGAGATCGTAAAAGCAGTGAGAATGGTTGCTATTATTAAAAAAAAAAAAAAGCTATTTGGGCAAGAGCACAGGGAACAGGAGAAAGCCATAAGCCTTCCCTTGTGTCCTCTCAGCTTTGGGAAATCATCTGTTCAGAGACTTCCTCAGCTGCAGGGGTCTGAGAGAGGGCAAAAGGCAGCCAGCAGGATGCAGTGTCAGCCAAGGAAGAGACACAAAACGTTGGGAACTGCAACCCCAGAGCACTTTCACAGCCCTGCAACTGCTGTTTGGCTTCCTCAGCACTGTGCTGTGCAAAACATCGTAGATCAAGGGCTGCACCAAGGAGCCACAAAAGTACTGGTGATGGTGCTGACAAGGCCCCATTGCTTCCCGGAGCCCAGCTTGCTTCCTAACCTGGTATTACGCTGCCTTTGTACATACCAAGGGCTTCCTGGGAGCTACCATGGGGCATCTCCTACATAATGCTACACAGGTAGCATACATAATGCTACAGGTCTTGAAGACCTGTCCTAAACTGAAAGCCCAGCAAATGTTAAACCTTTGTTTTAATATAAATCAAGTATGACTAGATGATTTAGGCAACTGTGGTAGAATTGAAGCAAATCAGCTGGACAGAGTATGAGCGACCTTCTAAAACTTTAGGTTCATTTATTCAGACTAGAGGAGATTCTATCACAGCTTCCCTGACAGCACAGGATTCTAAAATGAGAAAAAGATGTATAAATACATTAACTGTTAGACAGACAGCTTAGAATTAATATTTTTAAATAATACGATTTAGACTGACTGGTTAGCTTGCTGCTTCTTGTCTCTCATAAGGAAGTGAAAAAGATTTATTGGTCCTGGGGAGCACTGGGAGCAACACTCACATTTTGCAGAAAGCCAGAGCACTCTCACTCATTGAACACCTGAATGAAAGAGAATCAGTGACAGAAGCCAGGATGTGCTTTGACATACTCTGATCTTACACATAGTTAGCTCTGTCTCTACCCATTCACAAGGGATGGATTTCGTTTCAGAAGCAAACAGTTAAAATTGCTTGGTCTTGCTTTGTAATCTTATTAAATAACAGGCAAGTGAGACTCATATTTTTATGGAAAGCAGAAACATGTGGGTAAAAGGTTCGGATTAGTGGAGGTCATCTTGTCCCTTGTTGCTGATGTATCTATTCCCACTTGCTGATATTGTTCCAGCAGCTGTGCCACCTCTGGCTGTAATTTCAGCACTTCCAACAAACTAAACGGTATTGGGCTGGCCTGCACTCAGAGGGAAGATTGCTTGTGGAAAATTCAGGCATCACAGGAGGTATATTCTTCTCTCAAAATCAATTCCCCATGGAAGAGAAAAAGGGCTGCCTGTGAACAACAAAAAATTGCCAGGATTTGAGTGGACTAGACATTGAAACAAATTACAGTAAATTAAATCTTACATAATAATTCATCAGTTTGTAAAAGATGCATTTAGCTAGAGACAGAGGACTCAGCTGAGAATGACAGAACATACCACACCCGCATGAACTGTGGCCTAGAGATGACAAAAGCAGAAGCTCCTCTTGCTCAAGTAACTTATTTCTGAAAATCATCTGGCATTTGCACTGCTGCTGGGGCAGCCTGGGCAGGGTGAGGGTCAGGAGTGAGGCTCTGATGGTTCTTAGACAGTCTGACATTGTTGAAGCAGGTCCTTGACACCATTAAAACGATGAACCTGAATATTTCACTCTCTCTGAAGGCTGCCCTCCAGTTCTGGTAGCTCCCATCGCATCAAATCTGAGCATCCAAGGAACAGTTCCTAATGTATTTCATGCATTTAAAAAAATCAGGTCTTGCCCCTACTCCCTCCTGCCCTCATGAGAGTGTCTCAGACAAGGCAAGGGGTACTTTATTGGCATCAAGAAGAGATATACCAATGCACTCAAGCCAACAGTTACTTTTCTGGGAGTAAAGGGAAGCTGCTCAGTCTCACCTCTGTGCCCAGCAAGATCATGGAGCAGATCCTCCATAAACTAAGGCACATGATCAATAAGAAGGTGATTGGTGACAGCCAACATGGCTTTACTAAGGGCAAATCGTGCCTAACAGATTTGGTGGCCTTCTTTGATGGGGTTATAGTGTTGGTGGATAAAAGAACAACTGATGTCATTTACTTGGACTTCTTCAAAGCATTTGACAAAGTCTCACATGACATCCTTGTCTCTAAATTGGAGAGATGTGGATTTGATGGATGGACCACTCGATGGATAAGGAAGGATCTGGATGGCTGGACTGAAAGAGTTGCGGTCAATGGCTCGATGTCCAAGTGGAGACTGGTGACGAGTGGTGTTCTTCAGAGGTCGGTATTGGGACAGACACTTTTGAAAATCCTTGTCAGTGACATAGAAGGTGGGATTGAGTGCACCCTCGGCAAGTCTGGGGATGACACCAAGCTTTGTGATGCAGTTAACATGCTGGAGGGAAAGGATGCCATCCACAGGGACCTTGACAGGTTT